TTGAAATGTCCAATGACTTATTTGTTCCAAAAATTGTCCAATGACTTATTTAACATATTTTGGAATGTTCAAGGACTTATTTAACATGTTTTGGAAAGTTCAAGGACTTATTTGTTCCAAAAAAAAGTTCAAGGACTTATTTGTTCCAAAAAAAAGTTCAAGGACTTAATCATTCCAAACAAGAAAGTTCATTGGTTTTTATTGTACTTTTTCCATTATTCAATTAACCAAATAATTTAATAATTCTTTTACGGACAAAAATAATACTAAACTAAAATTAAAGTTGCTAATTTTAAATAGGGACTATTGGTACACAAAAAGGAAAATTATTGAAGAAGAGATTGTACATTTTTTTTCTGACAACCAAGACATTGAACTGTAAATGTTTTTACTTCAATGAGAGTTTTGTGTTTAAGTGAATATGATGATGGGATTTAAAATAACTTATGTTTTTTTTTTTTGTAAAAGGCTTATTAACTTATGTGGTATTACATTGGAGTTTTGTAAAAAGTGTTTGGATTAGCTTATAGCGGTACCAAAAAGTAATAAGCTGATAAATTAATTTTTAATGTTTGACAAATTTTGCTTATATATGTAAATGACCAAAAATGACAGTCTTCCATATTATTGACTTATTAACTTATTTGATTTTTTAACATGTAAAAATTTATTTTTCATCATTTATGATAATATATTTGACAACAAATTTATATCAATAAGATTAATAATTAACAAACATTAATAAAACAAGATTAAAATAGTAAACTGGTAATAAACAATTTTTCATAAGTCAGGAAGGATTAACTTATCAAAAACTGTTTATTACCGGTTTGGCACCGATATAAGCAGTTTTATTTTTTCTCATCCAAACATTAACATTTAGTTTATCCCCGGTACCAAACTCAAATAAGTAAAAAAAAAACACCTAAAATAAGCAATCCCAAACACCCCTTTACAACTTAATATTTAAGACACTTATCTGATAAACGTTTATCGGTAAGAGTTTACATTCTTATATATTTTACTGAGTAAGAATTTATCTAGTCGATTAAACTTGCATCATATACGACGATTTATCCAGTAAGCACTAACTGGGTAAGAGTGATCATCTCACTTGCCGGATAGTAGTCGTCAAACTTTTTTGCGAGTAAGACTCTCGGTTCTTATTATCACTCTTTCGGGGTAAGATCTTAGGTCTTTTTGTCATGTTCATCCAATAAGATAAATGACATGATAAATGCTTACTAAGTAAACGTTTGATAAAACGACCCTAAGTCGGCTAAAAATCGTTTAGCTTGTTTGATGGAAGAAAACATTACATTTGTGTAACAAATAAAGGACTCTTGAAACAGAAAAAAATTAAAATAAACTATTTCTTTGCATAATCTTATGATTATTGTTTACGACATTTTATTTTGAATTAATATGCAAAAAATCTATATCTCTAATTGAGATAAATGTCATATTATGAACCAAATACATATAAAAAATCAAATAAAAACAATATTTTAAAATAAAGTTGTTGCAATTATTGCAAGATGCGAAGTTCTCTCAACGCTTACAATTTTAATTTTATTTTTCAAGAAAGAATGATGTAAGATGACAGTGAAGGGTCACTTTATTAGAAATTCAGTTGTCGGAGATACAATCGAGATACAACAAAGGGACCGTTTGTTGTCAATCATGTTTCCCCCCTTTTCAGCAATCCAATTGCATCCCATTGCCATCGCCATTGAAACCTCCTTGCAATTTTTCCAACGTTTTGCTCCACCTTTTCCGCCTTCTAAAATGTTCCGGCAACCCCACGGCGGCCAAAGTTAAAGCAACAACCACAGCCGTCGTCTCTCTCTCCCTTTATCATCCACCAAAGGTACCAATTTATATGTTTATTCAAACTGGGAGAAATCTAAGAAACCCCTATTTGGAAAAAGGGAACAAAAGCCGAGGATCGTTAATGGCAAAGTAGGGTTATTTAATTCGGGAAGGATTTTTGTCTCTTCCTTTAATGATTTGTGCAAATCCAAGGAATATTGAAAGGGAAAAAAAAAAAGTAGAAAATGGGTATCGGTTTTCAAACTAAAACCCACTGTTGTTGTTAAAGCAAAAGCTTTAAAAAAAGTGTAAAAGCAGATGTGGTCTCTCTGTATCTGTGTGTGTGTTTGTTCTTACATGGCGCACACGCACACAGTGCGTGGATTTGATAGCGACCCAAATAAAGAAACAAAGAAAGAATGGTCAGTAGCTAGCAGGGGACTAAAATGATGATGAGGAATCTCTTTTTCTTCTTTCACTGTTGCCTTTAGCAGTCCCCATTTCACACACCACTCTGCTTTACAGTTTTTATTTTAGCTGGTGCTGTTTGGATGTTATGATCTCTAAAATGTCAGTTTTCTATATGGGGTTTTCCTTAGGAGATGATCTTGTAAGTCCCCTCTTTCTTATGTGTTGATTCTTTGTCTATTTGATGTGTTGCACCTGTTTCTTGATCTAAATGTCTATGGCGAACAGTTTTCTGATCTAAAATGTCAATTTTCAGTATGGGCTCTTCTTTCTTGGATGATATTAAGTGTCTTTCTCTCTGTTTTCTTTCTTGGATCAAGTCTTTGTGATGTTTTTGGAGTGGATATGTTCCGAAATATCAATCTTTTATGTGGGTTTTTGATTTGGTCATGATCTTTTAAGTCTCTTTCTCTCTGTTTGCTTTCTTGGATCGAGTGTTTGTGATGGTTTTTGGCATGGTTATGATCTGAAATATGAATCTTTTTGGCATGGTTATAAGTCTCTTTCTCTCTGTTTGCTTTACTTTTCTTGGCATTTTTCAGTTTCCCATTCTTTCCATTACATTTTGTGTTATTTCTGATGTTTTGAGCTTGTGTTATGATCTAAAATGTCAATTCTGTATATGGGTTTCTCATTAGAAGATGACCCTGCAAGTCTTTTTCGCTCTTCTTGCGAATTTGTCACCGTATTAAATCTGACTTCTTTTCTGGGAATCACAGGAAATGAAAGAAGGGGTGGTTCAATTGAAAGATGAAAGTATAAGCAATGGGATGATTGAAAATGTAGGTGTCAACGGATTCGATTTCAAAACTGAGTTTGAGTTTTGGCCGATTCAACATCCAACCGAACCCTCCCATGAAGATAGGCCCGTCCAGTGTCCTATGTCTCACTCGTCTCCCCTGATCAATGTAAGTCGTTATCTAAATCCATACAGACTGCTTAATTCATACAGACACAGAAGGTTAACACATTCGACAAATGCAGGATGAAAGAATGCAGGATGATCGGTTTTCAGAGCGCAAGAGACCAGAAGCGTCAATGGCCGTTCACAAAGAAAATAGCGCGCAAGAAGCTACAGAACCGGCCATTAGAACAGTCCGGAAGAGGCATCACGACCATACAAATACCATCACGCCGTTGCTGCAAGCGTTGCCTGTTTCTCACCAGAACATGAATACGACTGTCTTGAATAAGCTTCAGCAAGTTCACAGGTTCGAATCTTGACATAGTGCCACCACGGTCTCTCGTGTTCTGATTGAGATTTTAGTTGTTGGTTTTAGCTTCAACGGTCTCTCGTGTTCTGATCCTCTTGGTGTTTATGACATTTAACCTAGATTAAATGTGATCTTAATAGTGAACTCAAAATCGAATTAGCGGTATTTTGGTGAAACTTCTATATATGTATAATACGATATGAGCGTTTGTTGTATGACGGTGTATCTAACCTTTTTGAAGTCTATTGGACTCGAGTTCATCATCTTATTAACTCGAATTCGACCAAGCTCTTCCTTATGGAAGATTGGTATGATCCGTAAGGATGCGCCTGGCGGGACTCGAAGGATTGGGATTGGTGAGAGTTAAGTAGGCGGGTGAAAAAATTGTAGAAGGTGGGTTTGATTTGACATGGGTAATTTAGTAATTTACTAATCTTTCATGTCTCCTAAAATTTTGTTCCATCTATTTTGTTCAAGATTTTGGAAAAATTGATCTATTAGATTTTATTTAATTCGTTTTGATAAATTAAATTTAACAATCGTTTGCTTTGTCAATCTTTTTATATATAAAAGAAAAATCTTTAAGTATTCAGGTTGTATCATGAGAATTGAGTATTTCATATATGAATCAGTTAAAAGTTCCCATGTGAATTAATTAATGGGTTCACATGTCAACATATAGTTTATATGTGTATCACATAGGTTCATATATGAATTCGTTTGTTGTCTATTTGTAAAAGTTACGAAACTACTCCTTTATATTCCACATATCCATGTGAGGAATTATGTTGCGTTTTTTTTTTTTTTTTTTTTTAAGGTGTAAAGTTGACTATATGGATTAATCTGTCTGTATGAATTGAAAGAATTTTTAAGGGTGTCCGGGTCAAAGCCCGACTAATCCCCGGCAAATTTGGAGGCTAAACATGGCCCTACTTAAATGTCGCCAACATTCCCCTCCCAGGGCTCAAACTCGGGTTCATGACTATGTCATGCTCAAACCTTTACCACTAGGCTGGAAGGTCTTTGACAAATGTTAATCGAATGAAGGGCTATGATCACTTTTTAAGTTGTCGTTGAGTTTTAGTTGTTCACACATTAGTGGATTGGATGTCTTTATGTCAATTTATGGGGTTTGCCTCATAGTGTTGTCTTATTTTGTACGACCCTCTTTGAAATATATAACTATGGTTGGAATAAAAACCAACCAAATAGTAAAAATTATAGTGCAAAACTAAAAGTGAAACCAAGAACGATGACTTGGCAACATGAGGTTTGAATGTTTCTCAAATCTTTAAATAAGGTTGACTTTCATCATCTCACAATGGTGGAAAGATGATAGTTTGGAAGAAGATGGTGGATAAAAGTCTGATGGATGATTTAAAATCTATAACCATGGTTGAAATCAAAACCAACCAATTGGTAAGATTATAGTGCAAAACGAATGCAAATGATACATTTTTTTTTTCTTAACAAGAGTTGTGATTGATGCATTACTTATAATAACAAATGTAGTTTAAGTATCTATATTCACTTATATATACATAGAATGAAAATGTTTACTTAATGACGTGCTTTCATTTGATTTTAGTATTCTTCAAATCGTGATTTTACGGTGTTGGGTGTGACGTTGTAGATATAAATACGATCCCGAGTTTCTAGACACTTCGCATTTCCCCTCGGATCAAGGCTTTTACATTTATAAAGTAAAATGAACATGTTATGGTTAAATCTAATTTAGGAAATAATTCATACCATACCGAAGTCAATGAAGAGATCTAAGAGGCACGACCTAAAAGACATATCAATTAGGCAAAAAAATGATCTGAGTTCGTTTGGTACAAGTGACGATGGTGACTAAACTGTTCTAGAAATTGGTATTAAGATCTAATAGAAAGATCAGTTTATGTGATTTCAGTTTGTTAGGATGTAACAATTAGGGTGAATGTAACACCCTCATATCTAAAAAGGGGGATATGCTTAAATTTCCAATGATACATTGAATAGCAAGCATGGATTTAATATCAACAAAATGGCAAACCAAATTTTAAATAAATTCTAGGCTAAAGTCGGGTGTTACTAAGACCTAAATACAGTCGTTATTCTAAAATACAAAAGTTGTTCCCAAATAGCTAAATATTTCTCGTGCATCTACTAACACTCAACCCTTCATGGTGCCACTCGTACCATTCCCCAACAAGAACCTGATGCACTTGACAACAAACAGTTTTCATTTCAATGCTCAAATAATGAACTTGGATAAAACTCTATCATCAAAAACATTTAACACATGGATAAGTTTCAATAACTTAAAATCATAATCATGGATAACAATTCATACTCGAAACATCACCGAAAATATGGATAATACTCAATACCCAAAATAACACCTTTTAGTGACAGGGAAGACTCGTTTCTGTCAATCGTGGCGAAAGAGAAAATAAGTCGTTCATCAATGTTGTCAAGTAGCACCTTAAAGTCACAGTCACGGTTCCTGACTTCTCACGAGTTCATCACCGTAATATCTAATGTTCTGGAGCCCAACCCCACACGAGTTCGTCTCCATAACACCCCAATTTTAGTGCCTACTTACACACCATAGAGATAGACCTACAAGCCAATGGTCCTGAGGCCTCTCCACACGAGTTCATCCTCAAAATACCCCCGATGACTTTGTCGACTCTACTTGGCTAAAGCCTCACAACAAAGGTCCCAGTACCCGACTCCTCACGAGTTCATCATCATAATACACACGGTCTCGGAGTCCGACTCAATAAGAGATCACTTTCGCAATACCACGGTCCCCGAGCCTGGCTCATAAGAGTTCATCTCCACAATACCAACTCGGTCCCAGAGTCCAACCAACACGAGTTCCTTTCAACAATATCGGTTACGATCCCGGAATCCAACCCACACCAATTCCTGTGCGCAATATTGACACGACTAACCTCAACCGCTCCAGGTCTTTCATTTTATGGACAATCAACTCAACCACTCAAGGTTTATTACTCGTACGGACGCCAAACTACGACACAGGTGTAATGACCCCATTTTCAAGCCAACAACTGACTCTTATTCCTATGAATCCATTTTATTATAGTCTAAATTACACGACACCAATCGAACGGCCAACACACTCAAAGCATGAAACTTTCAAATAAATATGACATAACTGCATATACTCCAAAAACTCGACATAAAGCAAATGTAAACCAACAATTATCCCCAAGCCTCATTTGAGTCAAAACCGAGCTAAAAGCTCAAACAAATCACTTGATTATTCAATAAAAGTCATTATAAACAATAAAAACACATTTAACCAACGTTTATAGAAACACATGCTCCAAAAGTATGATTAACTCAAAAACTCATTATTAGTTGAGACAAATCATTTTCCAAATGAAATCATATTATTTTATTTTTCCAAAATGTGTCCTAACAACATATAACATGTATTTTCCCAAGTGGTTTATAAAACAAAATATAGTTAATGTGCATTAACATCAAATAGTTTTCCCTAAAGAGGAACAAATCATCAAAATCCCCCACAATTTATGGTTTACTTAACAGAATGCTCAAAAACCTCAAGGGTATACAGTTTACAATGTTTATAAATCAAATGTATCAAAACACAAGTCTCATCAAATAAATCTCATTGATAAACATCAAATAAAATATTTTAAGACTTCATAATGGATATTTTTTGTATGTATAAAGTTTTCAAAAAGCAACTTGGATCCACCTTGCTAGATTAGGTTAAACTTAGTTTCCAAACCCAGTATCTAGCTTTTATTGAGGAAGACATTAGATCCCCAAGCTAAACTTCCAGATCTATGATGCAAAGCTTCTCAAGACCACCTCATTTACTTCCAAAATATGCACAAATAAACCCAAGAGAAGAATGAGGGTTGAGGTGAAAAGAACCAAACCTTAGATTAGGAAATGGTTGGTTTAGAGCTTACCTTTCAACTTCTAAGGACCACAAATCAACAAGGGAACTTTAATCCTCTTGTTCGTCCCTTAAATAGCTTTAAAAGACGAAATCATAACCTCCAAAATCGCCCAGAATGGATAAAAAGGAGTGAGATATGACCAAATGAAGAAAACCCTCAAAAATTGAACTTTAAAACTCCATATTGCACCTTGCAGCCTTGCCTGCGACTTGAGATCACGTGGAAATTCACACGCTATAGCCTAGGCCCTAGAGAGATGCATGGTGCTAAATGCAACTTAAGCCGTGAGACAAGCTGCATGGACCGACCCAAGCACCATTTGTCGTGCCGCGTGCTGGCCGTTCCCGATCATTTTTCCAGCCGTTCCTTGACTGTTTTCCCGGGCCGTTCTCGACCGTTTTCTTGGTCGTTCACATACTGTTTCCTTAGCTGTTCACCGAATGTTTTCTGAAATTTATATTTTAGTGGCGACAATGAAAACACGGGTGTTATACCTTTAGCCATTAAGGGGTATAAATGATGTATTTCATCAATCCAAATCCTTATAATCTCTTCCGTTACTTTGAATTTATAGAGACATTCTTTTTATTCATCATTGTTGCTTTCATGGAGAGAACTTCCATAGACTCTCATGGCTCCCCCAACTTGTTCTTCTAATGACAATTTCGAATAGCTTATGCAACAATTAACCTATTTATAGGTCGCCTTCTCCCACAAACTGAATGAAGTTTCTTCGAGTGTTGTTACTTTGAAAAAATTATACCCTTCCTAGTCCTATTTCTTTCACTCTCGCTCAGATGTACGGAAGAACCACTTCCTTCAATTAGAAGTCCCTCAATTTGACGATATTAATCCCTGTGGGTATATTTTTAAGATTTACCAATTCCATAAGTATCACGATATGCCTATTAATGAGCAAATTATTGTAACATCATTTCACTTGGATGGTGATACACTCTCTTGGTATTAATGGATGCATATAAATCATCAAATCCTCTCTTGGGACCAGTTCATCCAAGCATTGGAGACCCGTTTTTCTCATACCACCTATGACTACAAGAGAGATAAACTTTTTAACAGACCAAGACTTTCTAAATTTAGTTCCTTTATTTCTCCATGATGACTACCGATGAGATTTTTTCGAAGGGCATTTGTTCCCTTTCAAGAATAGTGCGGTGGGTTCATCATTAACCAGTAGAACACCCCTTCTCTAACGAGCTTTTTGTGTCCATGTAGTTTGTTAAAAAATATGATTTTCGTCAATGTGGTTTAGAAGTTGTGTTTTTCGTCCCTATGGTTTGTAATTCATTGTTATTTTTATTCTTATGATTTACAACTTATTGTTGTTTCGGTTTTGTGGTTTACAATTCTTTACTGTTTTGATCCCTTATACTTTAAAGATAAGACTTAGTTTAGGGACTAAAATAATAATAAATAATAAACTATAGAAATAAAAATAGCAATTTTTAAACTATGGGTCGAAAATAGAATTTATTAACATACTACTAGGGATGAAAATCGTAATTTAGTCAGAAATTTATGTTGATATCTTTTAGAATAATAATATTTAATAAAATATGTCGTTATTCTTTGGCTAAACAGCGCGTACGGTGACGCGCTACGCCGTCAACCAATAGTAGCTAGCCAACCAAGAGAGTCTGCTGCTGTCTCTCTAAACCCTAATGATTTGTATACAACTCGTGTTATTCATTCTTTCCTCCATCTCTCCCCTTGCAGATTTCTGTGAACCCTAGAGGAATTCTGTCATCACTTCATTCACAGTCCTTCCAAAATCATCAGCAGACGAACATGGATCTTCAAGGTCTTGCTGTTGTTCTAAATGCAGCACTTAGTCCCAATCCTGCTGAACGAAAAGCCGCTGAAGAGAGTCTCAATAAGGTATTTTCTTCTCATTTTGATCGAAATTGCATTGGAAATGGTATTCATTCATTACTCTTAATTTGGAAGATGATTTGCAACTGTTTGTTGTTTGTTAGTTTTGATTTTCTGGCGGTGTAATCTATTTCATTGCGTTTGTTAATTGCAAATCACAATTGCGTTTTCTGAGATGATTATGACCGAATTATGTGTCGGTGGACAGAATCTTGATTTGGTTATGAATCGGACTACTTGTGATTTTAGTTTTTTTAGCTTTTTTAATTGTTGTGCTAGTTTATTAGGTTAATGTGAAAATGATTTTCTTTTTCAGTATCAGTACACTCCTCAGCATTTGGTGAGACTGCTGCAGATCATTGTGGATGGAAACTGTGACTTGGCAGTGCGGCAGGTTGCAAGTATTCATTTTAAGAATTTTGTAGCAGAAAACTGGTCACCTCATGATCCAGGTACTTGCCTACAATTCAATGCCAAACTATCACCTGAAAACACCTTTAACCAACCCAACAAGTGTGCATAATGAACATTTATTTTGGAGAATATTTAGCTTGAAAGTTTGCAAATTTCTGACTTTTCTTTATCCATTTGCCAACTTAGAGGAACAATCCAAGATTTTGCCAAGTGATAAAGACTTGGTGAGGCAGAACATCCTTGTTTTTGTAGCACAAGTTCCTCCATTGTTGAGGTGAAGACTATTGCTTTAGCTATTGTTTCTTTTGCTCTGTATTTCTCTATTTTATTATGAAATCAGCTACCATATGCTGTTAACAGGGCACAGTTGGGCGAGTGTCTCAAGACAATTATACATGCGGATTATCCTGAGCAATGGCCAAGTCTCTTGCACTGGGTGACACATAATTTGCAGGACCAGCAAGTTTATGGAGCTCTATTTGTGCTACGTATTCTTGCTAGAAAATATGAGTAAGTCCTTGTCTTTGAACATCTTAAATTGCAGCTTAGTTTCTTTACCTGGTTTCACTTTTATTGGTACTGTTGTAATAGAACATCTCTAGATCCTCATAAAGAGGCACAATTGCTTCTTATACTATTTTGCTACATTACACAAGGAATTGCTAAGTTTCCTTTCTTTTAGCTTTTCTTTTCTAGCTATATTTACATATAGGATATATATCATATGGGTATGTATCAAATAGAACACTATGAAGTTATTGTTTTTTCTTGTGGATCCCTCATAGCCATAAACAACCGAATAAGGTTATAGGATCTTTAAGCTTAAATTCGAATCGTCTGCAACGTCTTCTTTTCTCTCGCTTGCTTTATGAAGTTGTGATCTTGCAACTCAGTTAGCAATTATATCCCTCTGGGGCAAAAAAGTCTGACTGTAACATCATTTTCTTTTGGTATAGAAGGCAGTCTGTATAGCTGAATATAGGCTTTTTAATATTGATTTTTTTGTATTTATTGTACGAATTCAATGTGGTATTTCCTGTTTAAGCCCTAAAAGCAAGTTACCATGAATCTTTTAATTTTGATCAATATATGTACTAAGTATTTTCTATTCATAGGTTCAAGTCAGATGAGGAGAGAACACCAGTTCACCATGTTGTTGAGGAGACATTTCCTCATTTGCTCAATATCTTTAGCAGGCTTGTTCAGATAGGAAATCCATCAATAGAAGTAGCAGATTTAATTAAGCTCATCTGCAAAATATACTGGTCTTCCATTTATGTAAGTTACTGCATTGAAATATCCTATGGGGTCACTAAGTAACTTTTAAGTTGCAAAAACATTAGGGACTAATTTATACACTTATAGTGCACGGAAGTCCTATTTACAAAAAAATGTTGTGAAATGTTGTGCAGCTGGAGATTCCAAAGAAATTGTTTGATCCAAATGTGTTCAATGCTTGGATGGTTCTTTTCTTAAACATGTTGGAGCGACCTGTTCCATTAGAGGGCCAACCTGCTGATCTAGAGCTCCGCAAGTCATGGGGATGGTGGAAGGTAAAGAAGTGGACAGTCCATATATTAAACCGCCTCTATACACGGTGAGTTGTGGTTTTAATGTCTTTTAAATACCTTGAGACTGTAAACATCTCATAGGTTTTGCTTTTCCACAGGTTTGGGGATTTGAAATTGCAAAATCCAGAGAACAGAGTCTTTGCACAACACTTTCAGAAAACCTATGCTGGGAAAATTTTGGAATGTCATATGAACTTGTTGAATGCGATCCGTGTTGGTGCCTATTTACCTGACAGGGTTACCAACCTTATTCTGCAATATTTGAGCAATAGGTCTGTTTCATATGATTTTGGGTTATTGATTCAGTCCGTAATTTTACATTGATCTGTTACTGCTCTTTCGTTTTATTATTTTTATTAAGCTAAAACTATTGCCTGCTGAAGTGTTTCAACTTCCTCTTGGATGTTTGAATTAAACGGAACTGGAGCCTATTTATCATACTTCTATCTATGTATTAGACAAAAGGAGAAAAAAGATGGAACAATCAACCTTAAGCCCTTCACTCTACCTCGGTTATGCCTTTTTGTCTCTTCATGATTGCTCTGTCAAAAATGTCTCTTCATTTCAGCTTGTTTTTCTTTGAAAGTCTATTTATGGAGTTGAGGTAAATGAAATCAGCGGGTTATGGTCTTACTGTTAGCTATGTTAGTGGTGAAATGAATTTGTGTTAAATTGTTAATGGATGATAATGTAATTGAATGTCGGTAATTTTTTTATATATGTGATGCAACTATATGTGTTAATATTACCTGATGTTGATGACGCTTCAATAAATTCAATAATTAAGTGTGTACACCTGTTTGGGTTTTTTAATGATTCTTTGTGTTTGTGTATTGTGTATGTATGTATAGTTTTTCTTGTAAGTGGTGAGTTTCACTTTCGACAGTTTTGAGGATGCATGCGCCTTGTGTCTGGGCTCATGGAGACCTTTACACCTCATCCTTAAATAATACTTGACGAAATGCAGTTTCTGGGAACTTGTTGTAGGGGATATTATTTAATGTTGTCATTTTCCTTAGCCAATAATGTTAAAAGGGCTATCATCTTGTAGTCAGTTGCATGCTTAATTATAATGCATTTATATTTGCAGTTACCGAGGTCTTTCATAAGCCTACTTAATTATTCCCTGTGATCGATTTTTCTACAACATACAGTTACACAATACATGCTTTTGGTTGGCTCTAAAAAATTGTTCTTTGTATTTTTGTGTTTTTTGGATCTTATGCATATTGTGCTACTCATCAATGCATTGTTTTATCTTGTTCTGTTGTTACTTTTTCCTTCTATTCTGCTATACTCTTCCTTGTATCACATTTCTCTATAATTTGTCCATACACGCATGCAGTATTTCCAAGACTACTACATACAATATTCTCCAAGCAAGACTTGATGTGGTTCTTTTTGAAATAATATTTCCACTTATGTGCTTCAATGACAACGATCAAAAGCTATGGGAGGAAGATCCGCATGAGTATGTGAGAAAGGGTTATGGTGAGTCTTCCAATCTTCCAAATAAGAATTGGGTTGCGCCATATTTTATATATGAAAGACTATACAATAATGATGTATTTTCCGAATCAAATAGTGTGTTTTATTTTGTGGCATTCAGTCTAATGTGTTTTGTCTAAACATAAGTTAGGTCCTGACCGTTCAACATTCTTTCTTTACTGCAGATATTATTGAAGATCTGTACAGTCCTAGGACTGCAGCAATGGACTTTGTGAGTGAGTTGGTGAGAAAACGTGGAAAAGACAACCTTCAAAAATTTATATTATTCATTGTGGAAATTTTTAAGAGGTACAACCTCTTCAGTTATCTATATAGAATATTCCCTGTTAAAAAAGCTGCAATATAATGATGTATTTTATATATTCCTTTCCTCAGATACGAGGAGGCACCAGTTGAGATTAAGCCTTATCGACAAAAGGATGGTGCTCTCCTTGCTATTGGAACACTGTGTGATAAACTGAAACAGACTGAACCATATAAATCAGAACTTGAGCACATGTTAGTGCAACATGTTTTCCCAGAGTTCAGCAGTCCGGTGGGTCATATCAGAGCAAAGGTAAAGTTTTTTATTTGATTTTATTCTATTTCTATATGAAGCTGTCAATATTCAAAAAAAGAAATGAACGGCTGTATATCTTCGATAGTTCCCGTAATAATAAATCGAATGCGGGTAATTTGCATTTCAACAATAACCTCAATTTTTTTTTATTTTTAAAACTTCGTCTTTATACTTCGTGCTTCATTATCATCTTTGTTAGGAACTTTATTCTAATGAGATTCATTTGGAATATTAGGCTGCATGGGTTGCAGGACAATATGCCCATATTAATTTCTCTGACCCGAATAATTTCCGCAAAGCACTACAAAGTGTTGTTGCTGGGATGCGTGACCCAGAGCTCCCAGTTCGTGTTGATTCTGTTTTTGCATTGCGTTCTTTCGTTGAAGCCTGCAAAGGTAAGCTACCTAGCAAGTATATACTTCTCATGTTGTAATTCCTCTTCTTTGAGAATTTGAAACCTAACAAGAATCACTACGTTTCATTACTCTGCAGATCTTGGTGAAATCAGGCCTATTCTTCCTCAGCTACTTGATGGTATGTGTATCAAATAAAGGTTTGTTGGTATTGTGTTATCTCACTCCAAATTTGGTTTGTTTCCCTTACACATGGTTTGTTTTCAGAGTTCTTTAAGCTTATGAATGAAGTTGAAAACGAGGATCTGGTGTTTACCCTTGAGACTATTGTTGACAAGTTTGGAGAGGAGATGGCACCCTATGCTGTTGGCTTATGCCAGAACCTGGTGATGGTTTTTGTCTTCAAAATAAAATGTGTGCTTCACATTTGTACTTTTTATCTGCACTCTAACCTCCTATTTATATAGGCTGCTGCATTTTGGAAGTGTATGAACACTGCTGAAGCTGAAGATGAAGCTGATGATCCTGGTGCTTTGGCAGCTGTTGGCTGTTTACGTGCCATTAGCACAATTCTTGAATCAGTGAGCAGGCTTCCTCACCTTTTTGCTCACGTTGAGCCAACTCTACTTCCAATAATGCGCCGGATGCTTACAACTGATGGACAAGGTAAGATTTTTTTTTCTAGTGTTCGACACTAATGTGAACATTGATATTTGATGTAGACCAATAAGGAGAGAACTTTGCTGATTTACATCACCTCGATTTGAAAATGGAAGGGAACTCTTGAACGAGCTAACTAATTATAGCAATTATCAAACACTGATGGCTGGCATTATGCCCAAAAAGATAAGGTGGTGGGGAGGGGTTGTGGGTTGAGCTCTTAATCTGGAAAAAAGGAGGAAATTTGTTAAACACATAAGGATTTTACTTTAGATTTTCTGTTAGTTACTTAACCATTCATGTGATGCTTCCGTTCATTGTGTTAGTGTGATGGAAGATATCTATTTGGTTCATGACACGTTAACCTATTACCCAGTTAATAACCATAGCCAGAAGATTATAAAATTCTATGTTAAGATTATATGCTCACATCCAGAACCATAATGAGTGCTTTTAATATTTCTTTGATGAGTACTTTTTGAGTAAGTATGGATTAACGTAGTATACAAAGTGCAACAAAACCTATGCAAGGGTGCAGATAAAAATGTGTAAGACGCTTTGGCATGAGGTAGCTAAGGCATCTTTTTGAATACCATGTTGATTGTTGTTGCTAGAGTGCAACTCTATCAATAAAGATGGTTACACATGAGGTGCTTGAAGCATCTTTTGGTACCTTCATGATATTCCTTGACGATAGATGACGAGGATGTGAGCTTGAGTGTAAGGTTGGAAATGGGATAGATATATGTACTGAGTTATGGGACACTGTTGAATCCACTCCTGGCATTGTCTACATAGTTGTTTGATTAAACAGTGAATACACCCTCAGATTAGGGGTAGTGGAGGAATGTTTCCACATAGCTTGAGTCTGATGTGAGTCTTAATCTGTTTTCATTTCCTCTTGTTTTATCCAGCATCTGTTTCTATTTTTCCTTCATATACACAATAAAATGTTTCAAAAGTAATCATAATCTGTCTATCTTCACCTGAGATCGAACATAGTTATACTAGCATGGGTTCATTTTAGCTGATATCAACTTGTCAGAGATAAGCAGTTGCTACAAATTAACTTGTATTTACTTTTCATAATTAGTTCAGCTCCAAAAGAACTTGGTGGTTTAGTAGATAATTCCTCTATCTGAGCACAGTTATTTCTTAGTACCATGACACATTCAGGAACAGGATATTCCTCATTTTCTTGTAGCTAAATTATAAATGTTATTGCAGAGGTCTTCGAAGAAGTTTTGGAAATTGTATCATACATGACCTTTTTCTCACCGACAATATCCATGGATATGTGGAGTCTTTGGCCATTACTGATGGAAGCTTTGGCTGAGTGGGCTATTGATTTTTTTCCAAGTATGTTAATTTTCTTTTCAGTTGCCTTATTCTTCTTCATAGACAGAGCTCTCCACCTGCTCATTGCATATGGTTCTTTCGGGTTTTATCTTTTTGTAGATATACTTGTTCCTTTGGACAACTATATATCCAGGAGTACAGTGCACTATCTGACATGCAAGGAACCGGACTACCAACAAAGTTTGTGGATTATGCTTTCCAATGTATGTTGCTGGCATTCCTTGAATTTTTTTCTTCAAAAACACTTTCTGTATGCCTAGATGCTTAAGAACTCTCGATTACTTGATACTTATCTTTTTTTTTAATCACTCGTCTCTTTTGCTCCAGATAATGAGTGACAAAAACTTGGAAGACAATGACATTGAACCTGCACCAAAGCTTATAGCAGTAGTGTTACAAAACTGCAAGGGTCAGGTGGACCTCTGGGTTGAGCCATATATTAGAATCACAGTTGAGCGGTTGCACCGAGCCGAACGGCCGTACTTGAAATGCCTTTTGATGCAAGTTGTGAGTTAAATCAAGCACTAACGTTTTTAAGTTTCCATTGTTTTGTGAGTTAAATCAAGCACTAACGTTTTAAATTGCATGGTATAAAGCATGTAATTGCACGCAGATTTGGCTTGATCCTGCTACTCAGACCAGTCTTACAGAGAAGTAGATAAAATTTAGCATTATAAAAATGAAAGTAGAGATTTTGTTCTCAGGCTTGACAAGTTGGCTTATCTCCCTCATTTAAGTCTCACAATTAGTCTACTAGCAATGGGAACTGGGTGTTAACATTTCACGATACGTCATAGTTTATGTATGTTATAAATAGTGTTATCTTTCTGAACCCATCAAATTTTGAGCCAACTGAATCTTAAATGGATTTTTTTTATTAACCTGGATATCCAACCTGCTATGTGAGCCGACTAATCCCAGGGCGACCACCTGCTTTGCGGGTAGCCAGGAGTCACCGCATTTGAACCTCCGTGGCCACAAGGGGATTTTTATCCCTCGAATTTGAACTTGGGACCTCCAGGCACTTTTGACCTTTGGAGCCCAAGCTCAAACCAATCAAGCACCACCCTTGTGGTTTAAATGGATTATTTTGTTACAAGACTACCATATATCATGTTAGATTATTAAAGAATCTTGCGGTTTTACAGAGGGAGGTGTAGATGGAAATGACATGTTTCTTGTTCTGTAGAAAAGTTTGAACAACAAACATTACTTGAGATTTACTTGCTTTTCATTCATGGGGTGCTATTCTTTCCAGATTTTGATTTGTGATTTTGGATAATCCTGGATAATGTTTATACCCTCATGCAGATTGCTGATGCTTTATACTACAATCCGTCTTTGACGCTCAATATATTACAAAAGCTTGGTGTGGCTACAGAAATCTTTAACCTATGGTTTCAGATGTTGCAACAAACTAAAAAGAGTGGTGTCCGGGTTAATTTTAAGAGGTTGGTAACCCTATTTATCATGTGGAATCCGTACAAGCATTCTTATAGGCTTTTGCATATTCCACTTTTATCAGCTGTTTCTGCTGATTTCCTCTGTATTTCTCATAGGATAGTGGCGATGCTTTACCTAGTTTGTTCTTTTGTTACTTTTCAGGGAAAATGACAAGAAAATCTGCTGTTTAGGTTTGACATCTCTACTTTCACTTCCTGTGGATCAGTTGCCAGGGGAGGCCTTAGAGCGTGTTTTCAAGGCAACACTTGATTTGCTTGTTGCCTACAAGGATCAAGTTGCAGGTTTCTCCATCATCTCTATTTCTCTTGCTTCCACTTTCCTCTTTTCTCATCTGGTTACTAATAACTACCCATGTTTTATGGTTGTAATATGAATTTAGATTTATGTCTCATGGGTATGTATGAATAAATTATGCACAGAAGCGGAGAAGGAAGAGCCTGAGGAGGATGATGACGACATGAATGATGGTTTGCAAACGGATGATGACGATGATGATGATGATGGGTCTGACAAGGAAATGGGAGTAGATGACGAGGATGGTGATGAAGCTGATAGCTTGAGACTTCAGAAATTGGCTGCACAGGTTTGTAACTAAGAACAAAGTTATTTGGCAAGTTAAAGGAGAACATTCTCTTTTATTACTGACAAGTTCTTTACGTCAGTAAGGGCCTGTTTTTGGCAGCTTAATGAGCTTAATTGGACTCGCAACTTATTCGGTCAGCTAGGCATGACAATTTGATAGTGGTTTGATGATATAGAAAGTGGCTTATTCAGTMAGSMTYYWRGRGGKMGCTTYATKCAGAAAGCCAAGTTTTTKCCAAACTTSCYCCCCCC